AAAAAAAAAAAAAAAAAAAAAAAAAAAAAAAAAAAAAAAAAGACATCATAGCAGTGATTTGGGGAGAAATAAATGAGGGAACTGAGAAGCAAAGCAAAGCCTTCTGGAAACATGGAATGGCAGGGTACTCCTTTCCAAGGTGGGTGGCTGTGACCATCACACACACACACACACACACACTCATTCACTCCACTGTTTAAAATGTTCTTAATATTTTATCATGGGGATGTGACCTGCATGCCACATCACACATGTGGAGGTCAGAGGACAACTTTGTGGAGTCAGCCCTCCCCTTGCCTCTTTACCTGAGTTCTAGGCACTGAACTCAAGTCACAGGCTTGCATAGCAAAGACCTCCACTCACTGAACCATCTCTTGGCTACCTGACTTCTCTCTTTGGAGGACAGTTTTTTCCAATGAGCATTTTCAGATTTTGGTTATTTTTCAAATTTATTTCTGTAGACAGAAGTTTCAGTCATGCCCAGTCCTTCAGCTGTTCAGTCCCAAATAAACACAGAGGCTTATATTATTATAAACTGGCTGATGGCTCAGGGTTCTTAATTGGCTAGCTCTCTTAATTAACCCATTTCTATTAATCTGTGCATCACCACATGGTCTTGACTTACCAATGATGCCCAAGCCTCTTGCTTTCTCGGCAGCTACATGGTGTCTCTCTGGCAACTCCCTCTCTGTGTTCCTCTTCCCAGAATTCTCCTAGTCTGGTAACCCCACCTATCTTTCCTGCCTGGCTACATCCTGCCTGTCCATTGGCCGAAACAGCTTTATTCATTAACCAATAAGAGAAGCATATATTCACACCACACAAAAGGACATCTCCCATCAATATTTCACCTATCATTTATTTATTTTATTAATTTTGAGGCAAGGTACTATTAAGGTGATCCTGGCTGGCTTTGAATTTGCAGAAATCCTGCCTGTATCCCTAAGTGCTAGAACTATAGGCATGCACTATCACACTTGTTCCAATTAATGCGTGCGTGTGTGCGTGCGTGTTTCAGGACAGGACTCATTGTGTAGCCCAGGCTAACCTCAAACTCTTGATCCTCCTGCCCTAGCATCTCGTGTGCTGGGATGACAAGCATGCACCACCAGAACCAGCTTTGAAAAATGTGCAAAATAGAATGACATCTGGACTCTTTCTATTAAAGTAAAACAGGGGTGCGGAAGAGGGGAGTAGATTTTAGAAAAAGGAAGCAACAACAAAACCCACTAGATTCTGCTGCTTTTGGGGTTTTTTAGCAAAAACGTTCCTTTTTTTGGGGGGGGGGTGCTCCCACATCTTGGGCAGTTCCACATCATGTTTGTTTTCCATCCTGCTCTGCCTCGAGAATAGGCCTCTGGAGGGAGGACCAGCTTTGTGGACAATCCTTCAACTTCTCAGAAGTCAAATCCTTCCATGTCTGATTCACAGCTTCTGTTCTCAAGCTGCTCAGGAGGATTCTAACTCTGCCTGCCAGGGTCCAGCTGCATCACATGAGCTCAAGTGGTCCAGCCTGGAAACCAGACTACTGGTTTACACATTCCCAGATTACTTTTGCTGAGCAAAACCTGAATGTAACACTGTATTACAATAGAAGCGTTTTGTTTTCAGAACTTAACAATCTCGGAGGTGTGGGCCGGGGGGCTGCTGGAAGACCATCCTACTTTGTTGCTCATGTCTCCTCATGTCCCTTCCTCAATAAGTAGAAGATGAGACTTGATGCAGATAATTACTCTCAGAACGACTAGTGGTTTTTAAGCAGCTTTATATAGCAGAGCTAGTTATGTTGAAATCAAAGCAGAAATAAAGACAGTTTCTGTACTAATGAAAATTAGTTGCTATGACTAACACTTGGTTTCTGTGGCATTTACTTTCATTCATGGTGATTTCTGGGAAATGAATGACAACGTTCTTATTCCAAAAGAATTGTGAATCGTGTTCTCTCAGCTCACTTAACCTGTGCAGACTGTGGTCTATTCATTGGGAACAATGGCTCTTACTCAGTGCCTTGTCTAGACTATTAGCATACAGATCCGGGACAGAGCACATTATTTTGTCTGTCCTCATTTGTGAGTTGCATGTCTTGTGATTAAAATGAACTCTTCCCATTTTGCAGCGATTACAACAATATAAAGGCAGCTTATGAGGCCATGAAAAATGTGGCCTGCTTGATCAATGAACGCAAGCGCAAGCTGGAGAGCATTGACAAGATTGCCCGCTGGCAGGTGTCCATCGTAGGCTGGGAGGTGAGTGGTATCACCCATGCACAGTGTAGCTCACAGCTCCTGCACCATGGACCGAATGATAACATACTTTAGCATTCTGTGTTCTGTATGTTCTGGCTTTAATGGTGTATGTACTGATCACGGTCTGTGCATTTGGAGGGACTTTGATGAGTCTAAACGTCAGTTACCTTATTATTATATAGTGCCTACAAAGAAAGTCTGAGTAGGTGAGCTAGTTCAGAGGGTAAAGGTGCCAAACCTAAAAACATGAGTTTAATCCCCAAGGCCCATGTGGTAAAAGAAGAGAACCGAACCCTGAAAGTTGTCCTTCAGCCTCCACATAGGCACTGTGACACACCTATACCTGTATACATATCCTGTGTACACATGATACAGATAGATAGATAGATAGATAGATAGATAGATAGATAGATAGATAAAGATGATTAATTAGGTTTTTGGAATTTGTTTGTTTGAGACAGGGTTTCTCTGCATAACCCTGGCTATACTCAAACAAACAGAGATCCACCTTCCTCTGCCTCCCTAATGCTGGGATTGAAGGTGTGCACCACCCAGCTTAAAAATTATTTTTAAAAGTCATTAATATATTTCTTAGCATCTGATCTCCCTGATAAGGAGAACCAGCTCCACCACAGCAAGGGCACAGTTCCCACCCAGTCGTAGAACACAGTCATAGGAGCATGGAGACTCGAGTCAGAATACACATTTGAATCTGTATGATCCAAGAAGATTATCTTTTATCATCTTTAAGTTAAGGAAGAAAATATTACTTTTTAGGCTACATGATCATTATATAGTAGTACAAATAACCCTACCTGATAGGTCCCAAAGTAATGGCCCAATGGGTATATTTACCCTTATTTACACATGTGTGCACACGAACACATGCACACACACACACACACACACACACACACACACACACACACACACACACAGTATGCATTTCCCCTATTGTGTTCACCATTAATTACATTTATGAACTCAGTGAATCCTCTCAATAATCCTTAGAAGTGGGCACCTATTTAACCCATGGAAGAGTAAAGTACCTTGTCCAAGGCCACTTGGACTAGAGAGTGGCAGAGCTGGAGTCCAGCCCAGGAATCCAGCAGGTCTTTGCTGGTCACCTGCACTGAGAACCACAGCAGCTAAGCACAAGCTGGGGCCACTCAGCTTGCTGCTGAACCAGGTAAGGGTCACCTCCATCTACCAGCTGGTCAGAACTGACTTTCACTGACAGAGAATGGGTGGGGTGAGAGGGCAGGAATTGGCTGAAGTTAGGAGAACAAGGACAGCTGAAGAGAAATGCTCTTTCTCGGGAGCCCTGAACATACCTCTGTCATCGCTGTCTGATCCCCTTGTTTTTTAAATGAAGAGCCTGGGGCATAGATTGCTCTAGGAAAGGAAATAGAAGAAATACTTCAGGAGTCAAACACTTTTGCCTCCAAAACATTCTGTGCATTATTGGCATTAAAGGGAAATGAAAATTTTTAAATGAAGGCAGGGTTCATACCAAATCTGTTAGGGTGATGTTGGCTTGCATCCACTCCAGATATTATAAAGGGAAATTTTCCTTTCCAACCTTAGATTCTAACTTTTAGAATGCTGTGATCTAACATTCAAAATAATCAAACATTAGATAGTTTCATCAGAATTTACAAATTTCTTACTGGCAGCCTGGCCTTTTGTTTTCAGGACCCTAAGCTAGCTACTGCAGGGAGTAGCTAGTACACACCTGATTGGGGAACTATAAGAGTCAGTCATACCAAGTCCCTGTGCAATGAAACCTCTGCTTCTCCCTTACTCTGACGAAGTCAGGCTTTATTAGCTCCTGCTGCTGATGTGGTCTGGATTCTATTACTGTAGTGTGTATTTTTTAGATCAGGAAGACACTTGAAGTAACAGAGATAGGAAATTAAGAGGTATTTCAGGACCAGGGACCCAGGAAGTCAGGGTCTGAATGGCCTTTGAGGCCCTACCTGCCTGTGTGTAGGGTAGCAACACCTGGTCTTAGGAAACTGGAATATTCTAGAAAGACTGCATCAGAGGTGACTTCTGTGTCTCTACTACTGGAAACAATTTGGCTTAGAAAACTCACAGTGTAACTGCATTCTCCTAGGGCCTGGACATTCTAGACCGAAGCTCCGAGTTGATTCATTCGGGGGAACTGACCAAAATCACCAGGCAGGGCAAGAGCCAGCAGCGGATCTTCTTCCTGTTCGACCACCAGCTGGTGTCCTGCAAGAAGGACCTTCTGCGCAGGGACATGCTGTACTACAAGGGCCGCATGGACATGGACGAGGTGGAGCTTGTGGATGTGGAGGATGGACGGGACAAAGACTGGAACCTCAGCATGCGGAATGCCTTCAAGCTGGTCAGCAGAACCACAGATGAGGTACATCTGTTCTGTGCCAGAAAGCAAGAAGACAAGGCCAGGTGGCTGCAGGCCTATGCAGATGAGAGGCAGCGAGTACAGGAGGACCAGCAGATGGGTGAGTCCCCTCAGCCCATTCCACCACTGGCCTTCTGCTCAGTTGCTCCCTCAAGCGCCAAGTCCACGAAGGGGGCTGCAGGCATGTGCTGTGGGGAGCAATAGCAGAGATGGCGCCTCACCCCTAGGATGTGCCTGTTACCTTCATTCACATTTTACAGGATGGCCCAGCTTCGTGTGGTCCCAGGGACTGACCATTATGGTTGTGGCACACACATCCCCTTCATCCAACCAGTAGACACATCAGATAATTCTCTTTATTTTCGTCACTTACTTATTTATATTGCATGTGAGCATGTGTGTGGCATATTTGTTCCTGGAGGGGTGGTGCCTGTGGAGGTCAGAAGAGGACATCTAGTGACCTGCTGTGTCACTGACTGCCTTATTCACTTGCAATGGGTCTTACTAAACCTGTAGCTAGGTTGGGCATTAGCAAGACCCAGCAATCCTCCTGCCTCAGTCCCTCACAGCATTGGGATTGTAGGTGCACGCATGAGTGCACCAGATTTTTACATGAGCACTGGGGACTTGTACTCAGGACTTTATATTTGTGCAGCATGCGTTCTTTATGCATTCCTGAGTGGTCATCTTCCTAGCCCAGAAATGCCAGCTAATTGTCAAGGCCTCCACTTTATCGGCACTGTTGTAAAACACTCTAAGTTCGCCTCACTGCCTGGGTCAATTCAGACCCAGCTCCTCCCATGCTTTCCCCCATCTGTGGCACCCATAGAACCTGTACCACATACAGAGTAAGCTCGTGCTTCTGATATTCAGTAGTATACTTGTACTGTGGTCCCCAAATCAATGTAGAAAATTCCATACCTTAACATCAAGTAAGAACCCAGTTAAAATGCAGATGCCCCAAAAGTACAGTTTGGAATCACTTTCAGGCTGAGTATAAGGTATCTGTGAAACATAACTGAATCCTCTGTTTAGACTTTGGTCTCATCACCAAGTGTATGTGAAAATACTAGAAAATCTAAAGTGTGGTGTTTTGTGGTCCCACACATTTCAGATGAGGGGAACTTAACCTGTACTTTGGTGTGTCGTCCCAACTTATTCTGACCTTTTTCTTGCATGATCTTGTGAGAAGGAAGTTGCCATGAGGCATTAACCAGCACAGTGTCTATGCCCACACTCCAGAGCCACCCACACAGACTGGGGTTGTGAGCACACACTGTCAAATGTGAGCTCTGGTGCTCAAAGACCAGGGGTGTGTAGGGATAAGATGGGTGAGAAATGGCTATGTTGCCCAGATCTCAAGGATCATGTATTTGGTCGTGTGGGGCGTGTATTGCCCCACTGCTGCAGAGACCAAGGGGCTTTAAGACTGGTCCCTATATCTTCTGTATCAAGCCACCAGCTTTAGACTTGGCCATGGATTCTGCTGTTGGAAATAGAAAGTGTCAGGATCCTGTGTTGAGAGTACTTAGAAATCCATCAGACTATCTTGCCATTAAAAGTAAGAATTTCTTCAGAGGCCTCCAGAGCTCAGAGAAATGTGAGGGCATACAGCTCCCAGCCTCACAGGTGCCATCTTCTAGTCTGTACAGATGTCCTTTAGACCCAAGGAAACTAGAACCCCAGTAGCTGTCATGCATTGGCTGCTGACCAGCAGACCCTGTTGCAATAAAGTTTGTCATGAAATCCTTCTCAGAAGTGTGCAGGTAGTTACTAAAACGTTAGATGATGGAGTCACCAGCTCCCCACTTCCTCAGTCGTTCACACTGTCTGGTGCGGCTAGAGAGCACCTGAGTCGGAATGCTTGCACTCCTTTCCCTGGAGGTTCATGTTGATCACCCGCATCCTAAACACTTTCAACTCTGTTCTTCAGCTTGTGTGTGTCCTTTGCTTTGTGGGCTCCTGTATCTGGGAACCAGTGAGGACAGGTCCTCAGGCTCTGCCTGGAGCAAGACACCAATCTCTGTGTGGGTATGAGGTGGGAAGGAGATTCCGACAATCAGACAGACATTGCGTATGTGACTGCAGAAAGCCAGGGCAGCAGAGCCAGCCAAGTTAGAGAATGTGTCCAAGACAGAGACAAGGGTCACTTTGAGCTGCAGAGGTAGGTTGTGGCTCAGTTCTGCCACAGTGGAGCATGGCTTCTCACCTCCCACGTCTCACCTTGGAAGGAGCAGTTACCCCAACCCCAGATGCTGTTCCTCTGCTGTTTGTCTCTCTGTCCTCTTTCCTGGTGCAGCTCATTTTTAGCTAGTTTTCCCACCACATGTAGACAGCATTTCTGTCTGCACTGCAGAGCCAGGGTGCAGAGTTCCAACCTGAGGCTTTAGGCAAGTAGAATCTCAATCCACAGAGCTCTGGGCACATGTGAGCAGCAGTCCTGGGCCTCTTTGCCTTGGGTTCTCCTTCCAGAGTCATGTTTTAGACCTGCAATTAGGGTGAGTGTCATGTGGACACTGTCCTGGGAGTGTCTGTCTTGAGACCCCAAGGTTCAGTGTCTCATGACAATAGCACCTGGGGTCAGAGGTCATCGCGAGGCCCCTGGTGATATTCCTGGCACCCATCCTTTTCCTCGATTCTTAGGGTTCTTTGCTCCAGTAGAGAACACCTCAGCAAGTGTATGTGGTACACAGTTTTCCCTGAATATAGACCACCTCTGTTTCCAAATTCAGGAATGGAAATCCCAGAAAATCAGAAGAAACTCGCCATGTTGAATGCTCAGAAGGCCGGACATGGGAAATCTAAAGGTAAGGTTGGTAAAGGCCTCGTCTCCTTCCCATGGACCTCATGATGACATGAGGCAGTGACCACAGAGGACCTTTCCTAGCCCCGAGTGGAGAGGAAAAGCTAGGGACACTCAAGGAACAGACCCACATTGACAGGGGGCAGAGAGTCTATTTCAGGTCTGGATGCTGGTGCATGAAATACCTCAGACAGCCACAGAGGCAGGCCTTCAAGCCTCCTAGCCCTGCCAGTGCCTCTGTTCCTCACATCCATGGGGGGATAGTTCTGGTACCACTGGGCCACCAGGCAAGTGAACCCCTGTATCTTTGAGGAGGAATCTCCAACAACGAAGTGCTGGCCAGCTATAGGTGACTGTGTACCAGGCTTTTTCTTTTTGAGAGGCAACTACTTCTCAAATAGTGACACAGCCTTATTATTAGTTATGAATGCTTGGCCTAGCTTAGGCAAGTTTCTGGCTAGCTCTTTTAAGTTAACCTGTTTCTCTTTATCTACCTTATGCCTTGGGGCTTTTTACTTTCCTTCCATCTGTATATCTTTCTTTCACTGCTTCTCAAGTCTGGCTGGCTGGCTGGCTGGCGGCTGCCTGGCTGGGCCTAGGTGTCTCTCTCATTCTCTCGTTTTTCTTCTACTTCTCTCTTCGAGCCTAGATTTCTCCTATTTATTCTCCCTTCCTCCCTCCCTCCCTCTATCCCTCCCTCCCTCTCTCTTTCTCTCCCTCTCTCTCCCTACTTAGCTGTGGGTTGTTCAGCTCTTTACTTAGGCAGGCAAGGTGAAACAAACGCAACACATCTTTACATAATTAAACAAATGCAGCATTGGTAACACACCATTATATAGTGACTTTATGATAATAGTCAGCCCACAGCATAAACAAATGGAACACACCGTTACACAGTTCCAGTAATAGCCCACAGCATAAACAAATGGAACACTTCTTTAGTTAAAGTCATATTCCACAGCACATCTGCGCCACATTCCGGTAAAGGGAGCCGGAGGTCTCAACATCCATCAGTGGATGAGCAGACACCGGGCTTCCTCCAGAGTGCTTCCCCACACAGAAGCATTTATGGCCAGGGCACATC